ATCTCTAATGAGGAGAATACACAACATATCACCTGTGAAGGTAAAGGTCAAGATTGTTTGATTAACTCGTTGTTGTGTCGTTTGTAAGGAAATTATTTGAAGTATGTTGAGGATGATGATGTGAAGATTTGATGTTACTTATTGTGGGTAGTAGTTGAACGGGATCATTTTTTTGAGTTGCTTGAATGTTATTGTTTTTTGTGTTTGTAAACATTTCTGAGTATACATGACTCAGGTTTGCTGATGCAATGTTAATTTAGTTACGTATGAAAGATTTATTAGATTTTGGCTGAATAATTCATGAAACATTGCAGTTTGTGATGTTGCTATTTTCTGAGTATGTTTTGTTGAGTTATTGCCAAAGTATCTTAACTCTTTTAGGAGGATTTGTGTGATGAGAGTTTATTTCATGAAAATCATATGTTTAAATATTTGAATGTGGTCAGCAATTCTCTGTTTAGACAGGATCCTGTGGTTTGAGAACGTTATTTACAAATCTATGTAGCTTTGGTAACAATAGTTTGCTGTAAATAATATTTCGATGTTTTGGTCGACACCTAGTTTGAAATTGTGTGAAATCGGGAACTTGAAATTTATAATTTGTAATTTATGCATATTAAGAATTAAACTTGGAATTATGCAGCAAGCAGTCTTCAGTGTGTTTATACTGGGTGTAATCAGTGCCCAGCATGAATTTCAGGCACTTTCTGTTTAGTTTACATTGACATTGGCACAAAGGGCAGCACCCATGACAATGCAGGCGCATCACCTGCCTTAAAAGGGGCGGTCAGGTAGCCGAGTGGTTAAAGCGTTCGCCTCTCATGTCGAAGACCCGGGTTCGATTCCCGACATGGGTGCAATGTGTGAAGTCCATATTATTATTAAGTGTCTCCTGCTGTGATATTGCTGGAATATTGCTATAAGCGGCGTAAAACCTCACTCACTCACCTGCCTAAAAGCCAAGGGAGACACGGGTGGCCCAGTCTTCTGGAGCACCGCATGTTGCTGTGAACCTTATGATTGTGTGTGCAAAGCTCAGTTTTCTAGGTTTGTGAGCACCATACCCGTGCTTGTGGGTTTCACCAAAGTGATTAACATCTGAGACCTGCATCACTTTGAGCTGACACACCAAGCTATGACTGGAATACTGTTTAAAGCGGCATTACGACCAACTCACTCATTCAAGCAGATGAAAGCACAAAACAGAATGAATGTGTGTTGTATCTGAATGAAAATCCTAAATATTGTTGAGAAAGACAATGTTGCAGAATTAGGCCCAAATTGTGTACCACTTAATTCACTAATATTTGGAAAGAGTGTCTACCCTGAGGGTGGAAGGTTGGTGGATTGAAATCCCTGGCCGTGTCATACCAAAAGACATTTAAAGATGGTACTTGTTGTTACCCTGCCTGACATTCAGGGAATAAAATATGGACTGGTCGGAGTGGAGTCAGTATAATATGTCTTGAGTGGGGTATTCATGTTGAACAGTATCTATCTCAGGCCATTTGGTGCACAGTTCTTCGGAATCATTAGGATCATACTATTGATAAGTGAAGATGAAACACGGTTACCCTGATAGACTGGTTCGTCATGCCGAAGACCCGGGTTCGATTCCCGACATGGGTACAATGTGTGTGTCCCCCGCCATGATATTGCTGGAATATTGCTAAAAGCAGCGTAAAACCATGCTCGCTCGCCCACCCACCCTCACTCACCCACTCACTCACTCACTCACTCACCCACTCACCCACTCACTCACTCACTCACTCACTCACTCACCCATCCACCCACTCACTCACTCACTCACTCACTCACTCACTCACTCACTCACTCACTCACTCACTCACTCACTCACTCACTGGTATCTAAAGTCGGACATATTTTTGCATCTATGATGGCTGCTTCTTCTGCTTGTCATGCATTGGTATGAGTTGCCTGTCAGATCATGCTGTTTCTATGTCTGGAGTATTTATTGCAATGCCACTTTGTCAACAAATTGATTATGGTTCTTGGCTCGGGTAATTTTTATGATAAATAAATATTTAACTGAAACAGTTTTTTGAGACGTGGACAAGTTTGTATTTAATGTTGGTGACATGTTGACATGTTTATGCATGTGGGCCTAACTGCACTGTTTACTTTGTCTTTCCCCCATGCATCAAATTATTGATTCACTCTGGTTACAGAAGGGAACGTGATTCATTTTTCGCAGCCCTAATTCAAATATAGGCAAATATAGGCAAACCTTTGAGAAGGACAAAAGCTAGTTGCTCTGGTAGAAATCTGTAAAAAAATGTCATGAAGATATATCATGATTTTCGCAAAGTTTTAAGGACATTCTTGCAGCGTTAGAAATTGGCACTAGTCCTCTAGTCCTTGCCAAACGGCCCAATAGTTAAGGTATCACAAGAACTAGTAGAAATCTGACATTTTTTAGGGTTTCGCTGTTCTTGTATTCCATCGCCAAAATTGAGCAATATCTTCAGGACATTTTGGATGACAGTCAGTCAATATCCAGAACATATGTGGATGAATGGATTGGTTATAATGCCACTTTGATCAGTATATATATCAGTTATATCACAGCGGGTCACATGATGCAGGTCCCTGACTTTTACCACTTTGGTGATGACATACAGTAGACTAAGGTTATAATGATGTCAAAGGGACCAAGACCGCTCCGTGGTCTAGTGCTAGAGTGTCCGCACGGAGAGTGGAAGGTCTGGGGTTTGATCCCCGGCCACGTCATACCAAAAGACATTAAAAGATGGTACTTGCTGATACCCTGTCTGGCGCATGGCATAAGGGGCTAAAACAAGGACTGGTCGGCCCGGAGCCAGTATACTGTGCCTGAGTGGGGTATTCATGTTAAACTGCAACATGGTATCTCAGTGTGCTAGCACTATAAATCGGCATCAGTCCGGACTAGTACAAGCAGCCACACACACGCACACACACACATGCATGCACGTCGCTATATAGGTGCAATAATCTTGGACGCGACGTTTCACCTCACCTCACATAGCCGCAGTTTGTTATAAGCATATATACAGCACATATACAGCAAATGGCCGGAACCAAAAAGTAAGTTCGTTATAAACGTAGTTCACTGTACCTGGAACCTTCCCCCCCCACCCACCCCCGCTGCAACCACAATTAGGTTAGTGGGATATGAAACTAAACAGGTTGTGTCTCTCACTGTCAGTCAATTGGGCTGTCTTGGCCATCATTACTCTCAGAGCACAGCTCAAAATATGTTTGGATTCCTTAGGTTAGAACTGCTCCCCAGAAACCTATGCGGGTCGTTATTGTTAACCAGTCAGGTGGTCAGACTCGTTGATTTGGTTGAGTGTGTGTCATCGTCATCGTTGCTCATAATATCAATCACTGGATTGCCTGGTCCAGACTTGATTATTTACAAGCCGTGAAGATCCAGGGTAGAATCGGTCTTCAGCAACCCATGTTTGCCGTAAAAGGTGACTATGCTTGTCGTAAGAGGCGACTAAAGGGATTGGGTAGTCAGGCTCGCTGACTTGGTTGAAGCACCCCATCGATCCCAATTGCGTGGATCAATGCTCATGATATCAATCACTGGATTGTCTGATCCAGCCTCGATTATTTACAGACTGACGTCATATAGCTGGAATATTGCAGAATGCGGCGTAAAACAACAAACAAACAAGATCTGGAAGTTTTCCATCCCACAAAATCAGGGTTTCAGGGTTCAAGGCAACAGATAACAGCACTTATGATTTCTGAAAATAAACATCATCTCCATTGTGGATCTGTTAACCATGACAAAACGAAATGGAGTGTTGATGTTGGTGCACAGCTTCTGATATGCTAGGAGGCGGTCGGGTAGGCTAGTGGTTAAAGCAATCGCTCGTCACGCCGAAGACCCGGGTTCGATTCCCAACATGGGTACAATGTATGAAGCCCATTTCTGGTGTCCCCCGCTGTGATATTGCTGGAATATTGCTAAAAGCAGTGTAAAACCATACTCACTAACTCACTCACTCTGATATGCTATATTTTCACAAACCTTATGCAGTTCTACTGTCATGTGTGATTTTCTTTCTGAAAATGTCTTTGACCTTGTCAACATTTTCACATTAGGTTTTATTTGTATTTTTGGGGGTACATCTCAAAAGTTGAGTTTTGTATCTGCCCCCAGACTCTTGAACTGCTCCCCAAGTATGGCCAACTTTAAAAAAATGAATTCATGCATGTGTTACCTCGTTAAGAATGGATAATCACTGGCCCACACTTGTAAGACCAGGCAGCAGCTTGCTCCTGATCACCTGTGTGTAGGAGACAGTTCTGTTCTAAATCATGGCGGAAGATAATCTCGGACAAAAACTTTTTCAAAAGACTGGATGATATATTGAAAAATCTACCAATGAGCATGTAAATTTATGCCATGTCAGCAATCTTTGATCTCTTGGCAGTGTGGTTCTACTTAATCACTCTAGTCAGAATATATATAGTCTAAAATAAGCCCCATGAAACCACTATATTCATTGAAGTTAGATTTTGCAAAGAATTGTTGTAGTCAACACTCAAAGTGTGATGGAGTTTTTCAGACATAAAAAGTGCCAAAGAAGTACGAGACGACGGCTAATGGGTGAACAGCATCACCCTCATCAACATTTGCCTGGCTTTAAGTCGCTGGCTAATTTTTTTTTGGTCACCAAACATCCTGTTTCACAATGAAACTCCCAGAAAAAATGGCAGTGGCTGGGCTACGACTGGGGGAGCTGCTACGTCTGATTGTTTGAGAGTAATGCTTTAAAGATAACACAAGCTACATGGCTAGCTAGTTTATCCAGGGGCACTGTTTGTTTGGTGACTCTGGTCGACGACGCTCTACGGTGCAACCAACGTTGTGCAAACTGCCCGCATACTCCATTCTGTGGATGTAGTATGCATTTTCACTTGTATGCTATCGCTGTGGTTGTTTTCTAGACGCTCAGTGTCACGATTTTCCCTCTTTTCAGTACATTGGGTCGTTTTCGGTGAACGGGAGTGATCAGGCTTCGAGAGTGGACTATGTTCAGGGCCAGCTCGAGGGAATGAGAGTGAGTATTGATATATGTATTTCTGTCAAATCATGTCTTTATCAATGAGTTTCATGACGACTAGACAGTCGTCGTATACTGAATTCACCATGTCATGACCAGCTTCCTGACGAGACAGTCTTGGTTTGAAGCAGGAAATGTGGATTAGCACCATTATACATGAACAGATTGTTATCGCAACGTTGGAATGTTTATTTTGTTGTTTCTTGAACAAGTTGTTTGTGGTGCAAGTTCTCATTATTTATCAAATTCAGTGATAGATAAAAAAAATGTTCTTACACACTTGTGATGTGGACACATAATCTTTGAGTTTGGACTGTCTTGATTTGCTTGATGTCACTTCATATGGACGACCAATTAGTTGTCAATAAATAATAATTTAGCTGATATAATTCTAAAGATTATATTTCTTTTTGATAGTCAATCATGTTAATGATGATTACAATTTATATTAAATGACTAATTTTACAACCCATTCGATATTATCCCATATGTCGTAATTGTCTTAGATTTCATTAAGGTTTTCGTCTTTGTTTACATTTCTACCACTGATGGTGATTGTTTTGCTTGTTTCAGCATGTGACCAAGAGCAAGAGAGTCCTTCTCGTCATTTCCCTGTCTGGACTGAAAGTCTGCAGCTGTGATGGGGAGGTAACTACTTAATGTCTTGGCCCGTGAAGATCCGTGTAGAATAGGTCTTCAGCAACCCATGCTTGTCTCCCTGTGAAGATCCGTGTAGAATAGGTCTTCAGCAACCCATGCTTGTCTCCCTGTGAAGATCCGTGTAGAATAGGTCTTCAGCAACCCATGCTTGTCTCCCCGTGAAGATCCGGGGTAGAATAGGTCTTCAGCAACCCATGCTTGTCTCCCCATGAAGATCCGTGTAGAATAGGTCTTCAGCAACCCATGCTTGTCTCCCTGTGAAGATCCGGGGTAGAATAGGTCTTCAGCAACCCATGCTTGTTTCCCTGTGAAGATCCATGTAGAATAGGTCTTCAGCAACCCATGCTTGTCTCCCCGTGAAGATCCGGGGTAGAATAGGTCTTCAGCAACCCATGCTTGTCTTCCCCGTGAAGATTCGGGTTAGGATAGGTCTTCAGCAACCCTTGCTTGTCTCCCCGTGAAGATCCGTGGTAGAATAGGTCTTCAGCAACCCATGCTTGTCTCCCTGTGAAGATCTGGGTTAGGATAGGTCTTCAGTAACCCATGCTTGTCTCCCCGTGAAGATCCGGGTTAGGATAGGTCTTAAGTAACCCATGCTTGTCTCCCTGTGAAGATCCGGGTTAGGATAGGTCTTCAGTAACCCATGCTTGTCTCCCCGTGAAGATCCGGGTTAGGAAAGGTCTTCAGTAATCCATGCTTGTCGTAAGAGCCACCAACGGGATAGGGTGGTCAGACTCGCTGACTTGGTTGATGCATGTCATCATATCCCAATTGCTTAGATCAATGCTCATAATGTCAATCACTGGATTGTCTGGTCCAGACTCAATTATATACAGACTGATGCCATATAGCTAGAATATTGCTGAGTGCGGCATTAAACAACAAACAAACAAAACCTACTTTCTGTCTCCAGAGAAACCCTGTGGGGGTGGTTGTTGTATGAAATGTATGGTCTAGGGTCTGTAAGGGCCTGGCCCTGGTACCTCCTGCTTGTATTAAAGAGCCAGTCAGAGTGGGAAAGGTTGATATTTGCTTATGTCTTCAGTCACTGGTATCTCTGGTCCAGACTTGCCGCTATGAGCCTGTGATATAATTCAATATTGTAGTCTGCAACGTCAGTTATGAGCTACAATTGGTGTTAACATGAAGAAACATTTCAGAAACAGAAATAGGGTCTTTATTTATACACTGCCAGCTTATTGAGAGACACCAACTGAAAGGGACAACACTTTTTATCTAACCAGTTTAAAGTACTTGTGCTGAGGGCACACACACTTTACTTTAAGGGAAAGTAAGACTTCAAATCATTGATTCATCAGTATTACGCAGTTAGGTTAGACATTAAATTCTCTTCAGTTGTCAAAACTGAACCCAGAGGCCAGGAAGCTGTAATGCTAATAGGGTTCTATGACGCCCAGCCAGAGAACAGATGCATTTCCTGATATCATCAGCATCTTTAGACCAGATTATTTTCGTTCACAGATTTATGGCCCCAAAATTCAGGTCCTGAGGCTGAGAAATTAAAGAAAAAATAAATACAATTTCAAATATTCTGTTTCCATCTCCACACAATGTAATGAAGGGAGGGAAATTATGTTAAAAATATTAAGCCTGGCCTAAGGGTATTAATCAGTCCATGTGTCAAGGTAGAGTCCTTTGTAACATTGTTGTACTTCTTACTATAGTTTAGACCATACTTTAAACTCGGGATCTATGTGTAGAAGTGCTTTTAGGGTTGAACTTCAGGAACGTAGGCTTGGATCTGTTTAAACTTGTTGAGTTTTAAAAAGGAGAGATTGTTTCAAAAGATAAAAGGGTTCAGCAGGTAGAAATTGTGAGTAAGTGGAGGTCGCGGTTCCGTGTGACTTTGTTCACTGGAGTGTGATGCAAGTATTTCATTCACAAGTCCGTGAGAGGAAATATTTGGAGCATGAAAGTGCACCGTGCCTCAGTAGAAGCTGCCTAGTCTAGACCTGTACAGGGTATGTGTGGGGACTTCTCTCCACGGGATTAAGGGAGGAAGGGTTGCCCAGACAAGGTAGGGTTTCTTGTCTTCATGGCAAAGTTTAAAAGGTTAAATATAATAGGGTGAAGGTAAATTTAGCCTCTTGTTGAAAACCAGAGTCTAGTTAAATTCTATTCAGTCCAGAAAGCTATGTTAAAAAAAAGTCCATGATAACAGTAATAGGTACGTGAGATGTACAAGATGTTGAGAGCCAAGTTCTGGTCAGTAGACTCAAATTTTGCATAGATATGTGCTGTATTTAATTGAAAAGATGGTTATTTTGAACTAACAGTCTGCAGCAATAGCCACTAGACTAAAGCCCAACAAATAAGGTGTGACTGATAATGTTTAATGATAGTGAGTATGGTTTTAAGCAGCTTTTAGCAATATTCTAGCAATATCACAGCAGGGGACACCAGAAATGGGCTTCACACATTGTACCCATGTCGGGAATCGAACCTGGGTCTTTGGCGTGACGAACGAACGCTTTAACCACCAGGCTACCCGACCGCCCCTGTTTAATGATAGGATGCACAAGACAAGAACAGACTGTTATGACATTTACTTGAGGAGGTTCATGAGCTGACATTCTGAAGTGTTATAACTGAAGAAACTAGAAACAAGAGGACAGGGGGCAGTGGGGTAGTCATGTAGTCCATGTGTCAAGGTAGAGTCCTTTGTAACATTGTTGTACTTCTTACTATAGTTTAGACCATACTTTAAACTCGGGATCTATGTGTAGAAGTGCTTTAAGGGTTGAACTTCAGGAACGTAGGCTTGGATCTGTTTTAACTTGTTGAGTTTTAAAAAGGAGAGATTGTTTCAAAAGATAAAAGGGTTCAGCAGGTAGAAATTGTGAGTAAGTGGAGGTCGCGGTTCCGTGTGACAATAGTAAAGGCATTTGCTCATCATGCCTGTCAGTGTTTGATTCCCCACTTATGGTGTCACCCGCTGTTATATTTCTGGAATATTACTAAAAATCATAATCCCTCTCCCTAATCGCTGTGGTCTAGCTAGCTACCAACAGCCAAATAATCAAAATCTGCTGAAAATCATGCTTTTTATTGAAGTTATAGCCAAGTTGGGGCGAGTAGACTCAAGTGTTTGTAGAGCAGAGTGATATTGCTGAATGCAACACAACATCTGCCTTGCTTAGAGAGTGGAAGAGGTGCTAACACAGTTCTCAAGCAAGTTAGAACCTACACTGAAACGTTGCCCCTAATGTTGGCAGGGGATATAGAAACGGGCTCCGTCCGCCCGTCCGTCCGTCACGTTTCATAACTCAGAAACCGTTCAATATTTTTTCATGAAACTTTGCAGGTCTGTCTGGTACATGCTGAACTGGTGCCTTTTGCTGTTAAGAAATTTTAGAAAATTTTATATTTTACGTTTCCATGGCAACAAGATGGACTTAGGTTCCAAACTCTTCTTTTTTTTACAATTTCCATGACAAGTTCCCCCTCGGTTAAAAAAGTTAGGGTTTGTTTAGATTTAATTATGTCATAAATTCTGCAACAGGGGCGGGGGATATAGCCACATTAGTGGCAAACTCTTGTTGTAATAAAGAAGTTGTTATCCATATATCTTTTCCTTACATTGATGTAGCAGTGAGGAGATAGGATGTAAGCAGCAGTTGTGTTGATGTTCAATCACAACATGCCAATGTTGTTGACCGGCAAAAAACAAAGATATTGAGTGCAAACTGGGCTTGAATTCAGCACTTTTACCAACAGCTCATTTGACGTTAAAGGTCAAGGAATTGTATATATTCAGTAGGTCATTTGTCAAACCTGTCAATACAGTATTGTTATCAATGAAAAGAATAAGACAAAAGCTTGGTTTGAATGGCAGCCCTGGATCTGATTGATGTGAAATTTGCAGTTCAGCAAGCAGTTAAAATTTGACATTTCCAATTTAAATAGTGACAGCACTACACAATGACAAACAGTAGGCAGAGTTCAACTTATGTCTTTAAGGCTGATCTTTGCTGAAATAGCCTTTTTTTTCATGATAAAATTATAATCTGTCAAGCAGTATTGTAGATATTGTTGTTTGGGACAGTATTGTAGATATTGTTGTTTGGGACAGTATTGTAGATATTGTTGTTTGGGACAGTATTGTAGATATTGTTGTTTTGGGACAGTATTGTAATAATGTTGTTGTTTGGGACAGTATTGTAGATATTGTTGTTTGGGACAGTATTGTAGATATTATTGTTTGGGACAGTATTGCTTTGCTGTCAAGATAATGTGAAGCAAATATTTTCCATTGTATTGATCATTGTAGGGTTTCCAATGGAGAATACGTCCCAGAGAGGGGCACTCATAGCCTGGTGGTTCAAAGGCAAAACAATTCACTGTCAGGGTTGCCTCCCTTTGTCGTGCATGGATCTGCTGATTGTGGGTTTAATCATAGATACACCATGATTATGATCCTTGGTTTGTAAGGACCAGACACAGAGTTTGGGTTGCACCAAAGTGGTAAGCATCCATGACCTGCATCACTTTTGGCTTTCTCCCACATTGGCTAAGCCACCTTGACAGAACCAAAATACTGTTTAAGCAGATAATAACAATCTCATGCTTTGACCCTCATAGTCATGCTTGGCATTTCCTTCAGAGAAAATGCACTGCCCAGTATTGGATACCCATTAGTCTTCACATACTGGATGGGACAAAGAAATTCCGAACGGTTTCTTGTAGACCATCCTTAATGAATCTTACAGTTATGCCTTTCAGAGCTTCAGGCTTCAGTTCAATCAGACAATCACAGTACTAGGTACAGCAACAGGCCACTGCATTTCTGCCGATCCTCCTTGTTGCCTACTTCCTCTTATTGCAGCAATCATCCTACCCCCACCTGAAAATGTGTTTTGCATCGTTTTCTTATAGATGTGGCTTAGGAGGATGAATTGAACAACCTACTTAAAACTCGAAATTATGGATTATCTATACAAGACTTACAAAATTAATTTCACTGGGTG